TATAAACAAGCAACAAATAGCGTGTGCGTTCCATTTTCACTCTACAACGAGAAGCTCATGGGGCTTTCCCGAACCTGTGTCGAGAGCTGGAGTTAAATGAAATCTCAGATTTGCCTTCTTAATAGTTTCTTTGGGTCCCTCGCTTCCGTTTAGCTTCTCATGCAATGATTCATTTCTTTGGCCGACTGCTGAATCGGCGGGTTTTTGGCCGAAAAGGCGTCGGCCCGGCTGAAAAGACCCGACGGTGCGGGACACACCAATCTGAGTAGGGCGTGTCGACGCTCATCGTCGGCCCGACGCCCACCGACGCCGATTATCGGCCTGGTGTGTCCGTGCCTTTCGCACCCACAGGACTGTTGACGTCCACCTGGATTCATCGTCTTCAAATTTATAGACATTCCTTTTCAAGCATTTGGAATACCTATGTTGTAAATGTAGCCTATTATATTATATAATTGACACACAACATCTGTCCGTCCTAGGAGAGGGATCCCTCCTCTGTTGCTCTCCCTGAGGTTTCTTCCATTTTTCCCCATTAACTCTGGGGTTTCTTTTCAAGTTTTTCCTTGTCCGATGTGAGGGTCAAAGGACAGAGGGTGACATATTCATATTCTGTACAAACTTTAAAGTCCACTGAGACAAATATAAAATGTGTGATATTGGGCTGTATAAATCAACTTTGATTGATTGATAAGATAAGATGGACCTTTATTAATCCCTGGAAATTGGATGAAAAACATGACAACACAGATTCACACAGATTAATACAATTAATATAAAGATAACAATTACAAATGATAAAATAGCTATTAAATAAGAAATGAATTAAAATGAACATACATAGCTGGTCATATACATAATATTTACTTGTGTCTGTGAAAACAGTGTTTATTTTGTGTCCAGTAATTGAGGCAGTAAAATTAGTTACTAAGTCAAAATTATTCGAAATATCCTTATTTGAGATAATATATACAAATATTGGAAACGGTTCATTTTTTTAAACAATTGTGTGATGCATATTTAGAGATAAACATAATCAATTGGAGGATATTTGGCGGAAATGTGCTTCCATAGATTTGGCTTTCATTTGTGTGTTCCACTGAAACCTGTCCGGCGAAAGTTTTGCTCACGGCCTTAACACAAAAGAAATGACGAGCGGTATCGGCAGTGAGTAATATTTCCCAGTGCTTTCTTAATAATCTTCTTGGTTTTATAGTGAAAACTAACAGTACACATAATTGTAACAATGTGGTTATTTTAGTAAGGTTGAACACAGTATCTGTGTTGTTTGATAAAACGGTATACCTTGTAGCTCTGTGTGTGTCTCGTGAATGTGTCCCCCGTAATCAACACTGCTAAGCTAAAGCTATTGCTAAAATGATGGCAAAGTCTATGTTATTTTCTGCAGAATCACGGCTTATAACTAATTATACTTGGTTGCATAGGATGCATTCAAGTCCCAGCAGTTGACATTAAAATACAACATGTTATAATAGTTCTTAAATGCATCTTTTAGACACGAAACAAGCTAGCAATCTAGCTAACATTGATTACAAATAAAGCAATGTTTTATTCCGTTTACCAGCGCCGCTGTCTTGTGTTTTATATTATAAATGCATCACAGACTGAATTGTCTATCTGTTTTTGAGGCACAGTCCTACAGTGCATCTGTTAGCATAAGGACATTTCTCCGGAAAAAAACAAACAAACATACCGTCTCATTCTGGCTATGACATAAATCCCTGCACTAATTGTAATGTTTTTTTTTATTTTATGTGTTTTTGTGCACATTTAGAGTGTGTTATAGCAAATTGTCCCAAATCTATTAGTTCTGGCATTTTTTTTTAAAATCCTGTGTAAACATGAATTGCTCATGTTTTTGCTCTGAAATAAATATGTGCTAGTTAAAAGACGTCTGCTGTGATTACCTGGACATGTTGTGATTTACTGTATATTTGCTCATTTTCTTTTTCAACAGAACACAAGATAGTGAATGTGGGGCCGACAGAGCCATGGTCAGTCAGGGAGAAACTGTGCCTGGCCTCCTCTGTTATGAGGAGTGGAGACCAAAACTGGTGAGAAGAAAATCCTACTCAAATGTTTTTGTTTTCAGAAAGGTATAAGAATACTTTCTGCTAGCTGTATATTAAATTAAAACTGGGATATAAATTCCGTCTATGTAAAACTTTATACAATGAATGATTATAAACGGTGCAGTCTATGCAAACTTTTTACTGCAATTATGTCAGTCAAAAGGTCTTGGAACACCTCTACAAACCTAACCTGCCCTACCAAAACCTCCCAGTCATTGCATTTCTTGGAATATCATGGCAAAATATCTATTACATTAATGGAACTCTGCTAAATCCTAAAGCTCAACTCCAAATATTTTTTGAATTATGTAGTGTTGGATGTTTTTGTATTCTATGTCGCACCACTTACATATTTTACACTGGATTGGCATTGACATTTCTACTGAAACAATTAAATATTTACAAAGTGTATTTGGGCAAATAGGATTTTTTTTTTTTTTACTGATAAGGAAAAAAAAAAAAAATTCTACAAAACTGTCTCAATGCTATTATGACTTTACCTTTTTCTGAATATTTCACTTTAGTATTTATTTTGTCCTGATGCAAATGTATTTCTTAAAACGTGCATTATGATTCACATTGTTTTCTACAACTGTCTGTTTTATTCTGATGAATGTCTCTCCTTTTCTTGCAGGGTGTCTGTAAGCAGAGCCATCAAGCCTTTCTCAGAGCCCGGCCGTCCACCTGACTGGTTCTCACAGAAGGTGAGAAATCTCCGAAAAATATATTTTTGCATTTGTCTTTTTTGCCTCAGGTTAACACATTTTCTCTTTGTGTCTCAGCACTGTGCCTCACAATACTCCGAGCTGCTCGAGGCCACAGAAGCACCAAAGTCAGTATAATAAAACACTACCACCCACCACCAATGTGCAGAATCATAATAATATATTGAAACTGTTGTTTGGTAATATTTCTTGAGTTGACCTAAATTCTTGCTGCCCCCCTTTGCTTCAGGCGAAAGCGTGGTGAGAAGGGTGAGGTGGTGGAAACCATTGAAGATGTCATCGTTCGTAGGCTAACCACAGAGAGGATAGAGGAGCTGAAAAAGCTACTGCGGGACACACAGGAGAAGTACAGGTACAAACAGGAACATTGCTTAAAAACACATTGGAGGACCGCAGACATGACCGTTAACCCGCCTCTGATTTTTGTATCCTGACAGGAAGTTGAAGAAGGATGTGGATATGATTCAGACGGGTCACATGGACTCCCAGCTGAAGGAGCAGTTGGCAGACATAACACTGTAAGACTCTTCTGTTTCATATTAGACAAATGCTAACATGTTATCCTCAGAGCGGATCAGTCCGTATGCTGTCTACATTTGAACTTGTCCCACAGTTATTTCACAACTAAAAATCCCCAAGAAAATCCCACAAACTGATGTGGGCTTAATGCTGCTACAGCATATACAATACAGAACAAAATCCTCAGACAGTTTAACATTTTCTATTATAATTTTATAACGCAGGGTTCCACAGCAAAATAAGAGAAGATAGGACAGACCTTTATTGATCCCCATAGAGAGGCGAAGTCACGCCCATCTACTTCCGCCCCATGGGACCTTATTTCTGAAAAAGTATGTATTGAAGTCAATGGAGAGAGAAAACGTATCTTCCGATCCCGTTTGAATTGTGCCACGAATTACACATATGATGTTTTTCAATCTTAAAAAATAATTTCCATGTCAAAAAAGTCACAGTTTGTCTTAAAACTGTTGAAATATAAGACTATGAAAAATACGCAACTAGAAAGACTACAAATCCCAGAGTCGCGTACATTAACGTTACACATTACACTCGTGTTACTCACTGAAACCTTGTAAAGCCGGTCCCGCATGCTGGCTCTTATGGAACCGACTAACTCCCCTTTTGTGTATGTACAGCTCTCAACATGCCCAGACTTGTAGTGATTTTCACCTCTTTTAATACTTTTCGCTTCATTCTGAAAGAAAGAGGTGGAATGTGATAACGTGGCGGCCATCTTGGTGTTGGTGACGTATGCAAGACCAGAGATGTAGTTCATTGAGCGGTTTCACACAAAAAAATGTGTTACTTCACAGTTTTACGACACATTATTGTTTTGACTTGCAAAATTATCTTTTAAATTGACAAACATCATATGTGTAATTCGTTGCACAATTCAAACGAAATCAAAGGATAATCTTTCTCTCCCCATTGACTTCAATACATGATTTTTCCGAAATAAGGTCCCATGGAGGTCCCCCGGAAGGGGAGGGACTTCGCCACTCTATCGGGAAACTCAAGTGTATAGCAGCAACAGAATAAGAGGGAAATACAGGACAGTTCTCACAAGGATAATAACAATAAGATTAGACATGTAAGAAACAGTCTGATAATTGTGACAAGCAACAAAAATAAAGGTAAAAAATAAACCTTGGACACCGTTATAAATTAGAAACTCCCCTTGTCCCACTGTAGACCCCAAATCTAGTGCTGAACATGTCTGCATGGATGTAGGCACAATGACACCCCAACGGTTATCATTATCACAAAGCATGCGAGAGGTTACCCCTGCTGCCTTTCAGCCACAATCCTACCCTGTTCCTACGCCGTATTAACAACCTATTTACTATTAAATAAATTTGTGATTTTCCAACCGCAGAAAGAAGAAGCAGGCTGAGGACGAAGCAGAACAGAAAAGGAAAGCCACAGAAACAGCGTTTCAAGGTAGGTTTTTAGACATTTTTCAAAGAGAGCTTTACAAATATATGATCTTCTGTTTTTGCAAGATAAACATTTCATAGAATTCATAGTAGTTTCAACGACACTACTCATAATGCTAATAAACAACATTCTTTACATATCATTGTGAAATCGTACGTTAAATTAATATTCCAGTGAGGGCTTTCCCAGTCTAAAAGCAACACATCTGCTAACACTATCATACATTGCCCCTCCTCTTTCTCTGAATATTTTGTATATTTCGTCAGGGAAATAGTTTGTGTCTCTGATCTACCTCGGTTGACATGACAGTGCTCTCCCATGATGCCATGCTCTTGTTTTCTATGCTGCATTTTGTTATTGATTTCTTCAACAAAGTTTACTTAAAAACATAAAAAATGTTCAACACACCCCTGACCTTTGTCTATCGCAGCTCGTCAGGCGATGAAGAACACGCCTAAGCGTCTGCCCAGTGTGACCGTGCGTTCTCCTCTGGGTGCCAGCCCCCCCACCATGGACTCTCAGATCGACTCTTCAATCCCCATGGCGTCCCTGGATACAGAAAGTGTGGCCTCCGATGACACCACCCCCACCTCCACCCTCTCAGTTGTAAGAACGTCATTTGCTTTACATTCTTATTCAGCAGTGGGGAATGCTGCCAACAATGAAAGAAAGTGTGTTACGTAAACTTGACTTATTGAGCCAAAGCAAAGACATTTATTTAGGCGATGCCTCTCCCTGATTGTTCTCTGCCAGGCACAGGGGGTCGGGGGGTTTCTCCCTGCGGTGGATGCGTCAGGGCCCAAAGACGGAGGCCTGGTCGCTCTGATGGACGACTCCCCGCAGAAGAGGCTCCTCGCCCAGAAGTCCACGCCGCCGCCCTCGCCTCTCCTGTCAGAACTGCTGAAGAAAGGCAACCTCATCTCAGCCAGCCCCCGCCTGGTGAGAGCCTGCTGCGATCATAACATTCTAAACAAAAATACAAGGAACTGAAAATTACAAACAAATCATGTGCAGCAGCAAGCAGGACTCAGTTGTTAACACTTCAAATATGTACACTGCAGACATCAATTTATAGGGCGACTGTGGCTGCGAGGGAGTGTGGTCGTCTTTCAACCAGAAGGTTGTGGGTTCGATCCCAGCCCATGCAGTCAACATGTCGATGTATCCTTGGGCAAGATACTTAACCCTGAGTTGCTCCCGATGGCATGGCCAACGGTGTGTGAATGTGTGTGAATGTTAGGTCCTAGAGTAAGGTACACTGCTCTGTATGAATGGGTGTGAATGGGTGAATGACATGTAGTATGTAAAGCGCTTTGAGGGGTCTTAAAGACTGGATAAAGCGCTATATAAGTACAGTCCATTTACCATTTATAGAAAGCCTGTGTACTTAATCTGAGTGTGCAGGACAAAATTGAGTCAGACAGATATAACTGCAATATTCTAATTTTAATTCAATGTAATAATCCCATGAGTACTGTATTAAAAACGTTCCTTTTGTGTGTGCCTTGTTTTCATTGATGTCAGGTTGGAGAGACAGACTCTGCAGGGAGCCTCACCAACGGAGTACAGACAGCCACTGTAGCCACTGCCTTACCACCGGCTCATGATGTCATCACAGGTAAACACACCTTGCACAGTGTACACACACACACACACACACACACACACACACACACAAACACTAACTATTCTGTCTTTGTAGTTAGATTTTCCATTGAGACTTGCTGTCAGGATTCTGTGTTTAAACAAAATAAAAAAAGACATAGATACTTACAACGATGCAGGTTGGTTTTATGTATTCACTGGCTCTCGTGTGTGTGTTTGCAGAGGGTGAAGCAGAAGCTGCAGTGAAGGCGGAGCTTGGGGAGGAGGTGGGGCTAGTGGAAGAGGACCTCGTCGCTGTGTCCTACATGGGAGACGAACTGGACCTGGAGACCGTCGGAGACATCATCGCCATCATAGAGGAGAAGGTACATGATTATTAAAAATCCAAATCAGTCTGATTTGGAAGCAGGCATGACCAGGATCCCATTCTGTTGTTTTTTTTAGTAGAGGAATAAAGCATTACTAGCATTGGCAAAATACATTTAAACGGCACTGGAAAGAGAATTTAGCCTGTGTTTAGTGTTTACGTGTTGAGACCAATTCTCAGGGTATAGAAAGTCCTGTAGGGACAACTTATCAAACATAATAACATTTTCTAAATCATTGTCCAGATATTTTAGAGTGGTGCAGATATAACTTCTAAACCCCATAAATGAGTCAGCCAAAGTTGAATGTTTTTTCTTATTAGAAATTAGTTTAATGCCTGAAATGAGATCTGTGGTTAACACAGTTTTGAGCGATTTTCCCATTTTTTTTCTACGACATAAAATAAACACCCCACTGGTAAATGTGTCATTGGTTGCTCAGAAGTAACTAACTGAGACTACTAAACATCATCACGCCGGATATTAGCAGCCTTTAGCTTAGCGGTGGTGATGTGAAGTCATCATGCGTCATGTTGTTTGTTTATTGCAATAGAAATTTGCTTTGGATTGATGAAATTGACGCTTCAGCTTTTATATAAGTGGTGTTGAGGGAACCCTTGCGATTCTAACGTCTTGGTCGATCTGCTTCATCTCTGCGTCACATCTCACAGGAACACACTTTATCTAAACAGGATATATGTGACCTGCTCTATCGAAATCAGCCGCTTTGACCCGAAGACAACTTTTGAGTTGTACACACTGTTGGAAAGAGGAGATTCCTAGGTTTCTAATGATATCAGGATTGTTTTTGTACTCCAAATATTAAGCAAAATATGTCACATTATATAATGACTGTCACCGAGTCATCATTTTGAGAAAAAGGCCTTCAAAGTTTCCTCTTCTCTGGAATCCATTGATCTGATTGGTTATTAGCGGAGCAAATGATCAAAATACTACGGAGGGAAGATATTTTTGTTTGGATTACTGGTCTGGGGGAAGCTCGCGAGTGTGCATGTATTTTTGTGTGTTTGTGTATTCTTGCGTTTTCTGACTCCTCCCCTTCCTCCCAGGTGGATGACTCTGTGGAGGTGTTGGATGCAGCAGCAGTGGAAGCCGCTCTCTCTCTGTGTGAAGAGGCCGGCTCAGAGGGACACACCCTCCCCGGCCCCTGGGAGACCCAGGCCTCAGACGCAGGGCCCTCTGTCCCAGACTCTGACCCCTCTCAGGAGCCTCAGGATGGGGCCGCGATGTCGGCCCTGATGCCTGCAGGCATGGAGAGCCAGAGTCAAGCTGAGGCTAAAAGACAACAGCAGCTAAAGGGAAACTGTGAGGGACCGGAGGCAACAGGAAGTGATGTCACTTCTTCTGTCACCTCTGACGACTGTGCGACAGGGAGTGAGGTCATGGAGGAGGGTGCAGCGGGGAAGGATCCAACTGAAGCCACGATCAAAAGTGAAGGCGAGGAATGGAGCCAGCCTGAGCCCAACCCCCCCTGCCTCGGTGGGTGCTCACACACACACACACACACACACACACACACACACACACACACACACACACACACACACACACACACACACACACACACACACACACACAGAGAAAACGTGCTTATTTGTGTGTTTTAAATAAAAATGTAATGATGGTTTTTTTATTCACCTTCTCATTTCTGTCCCACAGACTCTGAGGACAGCTCTGTGTCCGGGAGAGAGTCCAAGGTAAAACACTCATACACTCTAACTAAGGATGGGTACCGAGAACCGGTACTAAGTCAATACCGGTACCTGATTGGACGGTATCGGTATACCGTTCAGCCGCTGGACAAACGGTGCTGCTATCGGTATATGTGTTACGTCTACTTCCTTAGTTTAACTTTAAACCATTCTGGTTGGTTTGGAACCCTCATCCCGTGTGATGTATCCGGTTTGAGACCCCTCTGATTGGCCACTGTAAATGCCACTCGTCATCTCTCTCAACAATGCTCTTATTATGGTTTCGAGACTCACATGGCGGACAGAGCGAAGCGATCGAAGGTCTGGGTACACTTTTAAAAATGTAGGCGATAATGCAAGGTGCAATCTATGTACTCAATTAGTTGCTTGTAAAGGGGGTAACACAAGCAACTTAATGAAGCATTTGCAAAGGAGACACTCATTGAATCTAAAACGGTGCTAGCAATACTGCTAGTGCTAATAGTGCTGAGCGAAGGCTCGCAGGCAGGTTAGCTGCTGCGCACGGGTAATATGTTTTGTTTACCTGAGTGCAGTCTTGCAGGCACATCGCCTTGTCTTGTTTTAGTTTATTAACACTGACAGTGTATTAATGTGAGCTCCTACACCTATAATAATTTGGCCTTTCATTGAATGCTTTATAAACCAGTTAAACTGACAGATGTCATTGTGAATTGGAAAACTGCATTTAAATGTTGTTAAAGGTCAACGTTTCAATGTATGGTTCAGCAATTGTTGGTCGTTTACTAGGAATTGACATATTTTAAGCTCAAATACTTTGTTCTATGTTTAAACCCTCAGACACATGTTGACGTGTTTCAGTTCAGCACATCATTTATTTTGTGATGATTTAAAAGTACAATCCAGAATAATATACGTACTCGCCTTTATCTTTTTGCCATCTTAGCCTTTTGACCAATTTCTTCACATCACAGTTTTGCATGATGTCACTGTAGGACAATGTTTTAAGGATCTCTTGTCGAGCTAGGTTGTCAGTTTGAAATGTCTGGACGAAGATGTAAATGATTTACAAATGTTAAATAATGTTTAAAAAAATGCCTCTTTTCATCCTCTGTCTGAGGGAAAACCCCAAAAAGCATGATAGGGCGAGCCAGGCCCCTTTAAGTTATTATTTATTTGTGTCTGCTTCTGAGAAGCGAATGTATAAGTTATACAGTTATTTCTGCAAGAAAATTACAATACAATTACTGTTTAATCTTCACATCTTGTATTCATGTCTATAATTTTGAGCACCAAATTATTGAAAAGTATCGATAAGAGTATCGAAAAATACCGATACCGATAAGCAGTACCGGTACCGGTATCGATAAAATCCTAACGATACCCATCCCTAACTCTAACAAACTAAAATGATTGTAATTTACTAAAAGTGTTATCTAAAAAAAAAGGATATCCGTTGCTTTTTAAATGCCTGTTTTAAAATGCCATTACATAATGTGTTTCTGCTGTATTTATTTTTAAATGTCTTCTATTTTATTTTGTAAAGCACTTTGAATTGTCGCTTGCTGAAAGGTGCTATATAAATAAACTTGCCTTAAAAAACTAAACCATAAAAGCTATTTCCTGGTAAAAAAAACTAATACGATTAACACAAACATTTTGTAATTCATTTCATCTTAACTTTTTAGTTGCAATATATTCCAGCAGTTAAAAACTGAATGAATTTCTGTCCAATCTGGAGACATTGAAACACCTTGACAGAGATTCCAGTAGGTGGTGCTGTGCAACAATGCTTCACATGTAGTGCCTTTTAGCTTTTTCCTCGCATCCCTGTGTTGTAAAAAGTAAGATGTTCAGGTTAATTGTAAGCTAACTAGTGTCATTATCTTCTGAGTGAAAGAGGACTCAAGCTGCTTCCCAGATCCAAATGTTATAACAATATGGACATTCCTACACAGTTCTCCAATGTATTTTTAAATATAGACGTACATAAATCTTTCACATAATACCTGTTCCCAACAAAAAACCACAACAAATAAATATAAAAGAACTAAAATTAAACATTAACATATATTTAAATTAATTTCCATTATAGATTGTCACAAGATGATACAATACCAAAACATTTAAGGCAAAAACAGTAAAACCATCAGAAACAAATCTCAATATGTGTGTGTTGTTGAATCCAGGAGGTGAAGGAGGAGGAGGTGGGGAGTGATGGCGACCCAGACGAGGGGATGGAGCTGAAGGAGGAGTGTGGGGAGGGGGAGGGTCCCTATCTGTCCGAGGTGGAGCGGGCAGCCAGCGAGAGTGAGGACGGGTACGGCCCCCCCTCCCAGCGCTACACTGCGGACTCTCTGGCCAGCAGCCCGGCCTCTTCCTCACAACTGTAGGTGTCCTCGGATCACAATCAGATTTCTGCAGTCTTTGGCTGCTGACATAAGATCCAAAAGTGTTGCTCTTGTGTCTTTACGTCTCGTCCATTTGTGATTTCTCTTCTGCTTTCCATTCACTATCCTCTCGTCACCCTCATTTGTCTCCTCTTCCTCTCTCTGCTGCAGCTCTACCTGTGGAGAGGACCAGGAGGCGGTGCAGGCCCAGAAGATCTGGAAGAAAGCCATCATGCTGGTGTGGAGAGCCGCAGCCAACCACAGGTGGAGCCTCTAGGAATGCCAAAATACATGCAATCGTTTGTTACCTCCATTTTTAGGCTTATCCTCGTCATCATGATAGTAATAAGCTGTTTCAGGTCATTACATAGCATCATACTTCTTGTCTAACAAAGAAGGATCCACATGAATGCATTTAATGTATCAAATGATGTAAAGTCTTATCTTTTATTCTGTTTTATGAGGACATTACATTACCAAGGACATGGGGACTTCAATGGTTGCTACAGCCCTGATACTATAAACAGATGATCTTTGTATTTTGAGATTTTGGTTAACAGTTTTCCTCCGTAAACAGAATAATAAATAAACATTAAGTTCACAAAACAACAAAGCGAATTTCAAATCTGTGCCAATGTTGGTAAAATAACCAACATCAACCTATAGCTGAACTCCTTAGTTTTCTACTAGCTTTGGCTAATTTTAAATACTGGGATTTTGAGTAGAATTGGTTTGAAAGATTCTTGCTCACTGTTGGTAGTTTTCACTTTTGACTTTTCTAGAGAACGTATATGGAGTTAAATGGGAAAACAGGATCTCCCAACGGCAGTTGGGAAAACAAATATTAAAAACATGTATTAATAGATTCATGTGTCTCTCAGGTACGCCAGTGTCTTCCTGCAGCCTGTGTCAGATGACATCGCCCCTGGCTACCACAGCATTGTACACAGGTAAGACCACACACACACACACACACACACACACACACACACACACACACACACACACACACACACACACACACTCATGCACTAATTTGCTTTTTTTGTCAAATTACA